TATTTCATTGGTAGTCAACCTGATAATCTCTCGTGGCCTCAGCATCGATATCAGCTGCAGAAGCGAGGCCGACCATCTTCTTTTTCGCGTCAATATCTCTCTTCAACATAACAGCGAATATCACCGCACCAACTACCACAACGGTACAACTCCCGATTAACGTCAATAATATTGGCAGGCCGTAATCAAAGTATTGAGATCCAGCGTCTTCTGTTTGACTGATCACAGGTCTCTTGCTCTGAAACAAAATAAAATAAGTAACCCCTAAAAAATGTAACATTAAAGTTTGTAATAGCAAAATTACCCGGTCACCGACTCCTGTAGACAACACTTGGGCGCCAGTTTCTCGACGTAATTCGTCTTTGATGTCAACTGTAAGCAAATTGTAACGTTATCGTAATCATTTATCTCGATTCTCAGTAGTTCGTAAATTAATTGCTGAAAGCTTAGTCTAAAAACATAATTGCCTTTTACAAAGTGTTTCTTAGGCTTTCTACTTTGATAAGCTCTAACAGTACTCCCATATATCTTATTTTTATTTGATATACCAACGTATAAATTATACGCACCTACACGTCTAGCGACATCTTCTGCATCATAACCTTTGCTGTTTTTCTCAACTTTAAACGTAACTTCGCTTGGATCGACCCTGTTGAAGAAAAAAACATTAGAGCAATTACAGCAATATTATTTTAATTCTCATTTATGGTTAAATAAAATAAATTACCGAGGATTGGTGAAAGTATCCTTCTCTAATCCAAGCAACTCCTCTAATCTTGAAATAAATGCTAGACCTTTTTCCCAGTCCGTTAAGAACCTGGTAATATAAAATATATAAGTAATCTTATAATAGCAAAATATAGTTAAGTGTTACCATTAAAAAAAAACTTGAATATTTTAAAGATGACGAAACTAATTTAATTGGTATTTATTTTTCATAATATAATATTTTACATAATACCGAAGCGCCGTAAGCGTAGGTTTTTAGTAATTCAATGTAAGGAAAGATTGTTACTTTGTATTTGTATTGTTACATTGGCATCACCAGATTAAATGTATTAACCATAAATTGTAATTAGCTTTAAGTTGGTATAACTGTAATTGTAATTGTAATTGTTAATCTTTTGTTTTTCAATATTTTTTTTTCTATTTTTATGGTAATCTACTGCCATTACCTTTGGTTTAATAAATGATGCAGTAAACGGGGATAAAATAAATATTACCTGTTCTTAAACAGAACGTATGTATACGATGGGTCATAATCGTAATCATTGTGGTCATGAAGTGCTTGAGATAAAGCTTCATCTTGAGCTCCTTTAGCTAAAAACAAAACATCTAAAAATTAGTGTACCTTATTTAAAAGTAAACAAAAAGTAACAAGAGACACATTAAAAGGCAGATTTAAATATGCAATACATAATTCACATATCTTGTGCGTATTTGCTTCGATACACAAGCTTTCCGTTAATACGACAAACTTTGTATTCATTCATATTCGAGACATTGAAAATCACGACACAAAAGGTTAGAAAAAGGAGTATAAAATAAAATAAGTAAAGTAAGAGATTAAAATACCACAAATATAGAAAGCGATCAAACCTATTAGTGGAGCCAAACTCCATGCGTTTGCGTTGATAAGAAACAAAATGTGCGGACAGGGGGTAACATTTAGTGCGGAAAGACTAGAAGACGTGGCGGTGCAAATATCAAATGTAAGAGTCAATTACACTCGGACGCAGAGGTCATAGTTTATAAGGTCACATCGAGATTCTAAAACAGGTAGCGGGCCTTCGTGACACTAACCTGTTACCGATTTATTGTGGTACAATAACTTTAGAGTTTTCGCGTCCAGACGCGGCCCGGGCTTTTTAACATCATCTCTTTCCCTACGCTTAAAGCCCCATTCTCTATTAAGCAAATCTTGCAATTCTTCAGATAGATAAAATTTGGAACTTTCACCTGAAACATCGTCGGTACGTAAACAGTCTCAGTCCGGTGTAATTAACCGGCCCGAGTCTTTATTTCAACCCATTCGAGATTTTTACACGAAATTAAAATGTCTTTGAAATGGTAATCAATAAGGAAGGAATTTCGGGATTTTTTAGCAATGTTTTAGGTAAGATCAATTGAGTTTGAAATATTATTGTGCCTACAAACACTGAAAATAAAAGAGGAAGCAAACAAAATTGTTTCTTAACAAGGAGAATCTGCTTTTATTATCTACTGTAAGGTTTTTATTAAATTTACCTCCCATTTCGTCGATTTTAAGTGGACCTCCTTCAGAATATATAGCGTCTTGTGGTTTAAGATCTTTGAATCGTTGCCAATAATTTAATACGTATTCCATGTTTTTAGACTTTGTACCTTCGAAGCCAGGTGTATCTGATAAAGCAAATTATCTCAACACTATGTGATTTAGTAATAATAATTGTTTATATGTTGTAATTCTTACCTTTTAAATTGTAAGGGTCATATTTACCGCTGCCAGCGTCCATAGCGGATTCATCTAAATCATCATTATCGATATAAATCCTAGATTCTTGAATGTCTCCAGGATTTTCGTATTCAAATGGGAAATTCTTCTCAGCGAAACTCTGCTTGTATTTCTCTAAAGCATTCGAATGAACTTCAGCATCTAATGGAGAATAATTACTCGTAAGATATTCCGCCGTGTAAGGGTAGGGTTTCATTTTCATTTTCCTGAAATGAGCACCCAAACGCTCTTCGTCTGGAAACTTCTCAGAGTTAGATTCTCTGTTTGCGACAGAGAGTGATTTTTTCTCTTTGTCCAATGCGTTGAAATATTTTCCATTCAGTTCTTTAATTCCTTTTTCTGCTTGAAGTCGTTCTCTAAAACCTTCGAAAGGGACAATAACAGGCGACTCTTCTAGGCCGCTAACTAACATTAAATTTCTTATTTTATCGCTTGTGGTTTCTCCTTCCATTTCTGATTCCACTGGATGCAAATTTTTATATTTAATGGAGTTGAATTTAAAACAATATAAAATATACTCTATTTTAAAGCAAATTTACCTTTCGGAATAATGTAAGGAGACGGGTCATCATCGGATAAAGGAGGATTATAAACCTCGTTGGCATAATCTGAATCGCTTAACGCCGAGTTCGGCATGAATCGCACAAATGCGGTTTCATCGGGTTCCATCTATAAATTAAATCAGTGATCGGACACACATTTGTAAAAGTTTTGATGTATAGGAAAAAATCATACACAAATTATTTTAAATGTCTTTATATTGGAACTTACGTCAGTTTCTTCACTTTCATCTTCGCTTTCCGTAGTCGTAGTACTCAATTTGGGGTCGGCAAAATGCTCACATAGTTTAGAGTTGACGTCAGTTGGTTCTCTATATCAAGGTATCAAATTAATATGATTTTATATAACCTTAAACAGCTTAAAAAATATAGCAATGCATAATGTTGATAGCCTTGAAGAGATCTGAGTGTAAGTATAGTGTTTCACTTTTTGTCGTGCCCCAAGTGCACTTAGTCTGCACCTCTTAAATGTAGGTCAAGGGCAGAGGTGTTTTTACTTTGACCACGCGTTTATGTTTACATATAATAGAGTAAGTATGAGATATTTTATTACTAGCTTCGCCTGCGACTCATCCGCGTGGAATTAAAAAAAAAACAAAAGTTAGTAGGCTCTGCGTCATCCAGACATCTATATATACCAAATTTCATCGAAATCCGTTCAGCCGTTTAGGCTAAACACTTAAACTAATATAGAATATGATGTACCTATGTATTTAAACCAGTTCCTATCCTTTTTAGATGATTTTTTTATGTTTTTTAAGCTAGCGCTTGATCACGATCCCATCGGATAACAGTGTGATCTATTTCCGATGTATATCGTCCGATAGGCGTTCGTACAATTAACAATGAGTCCTTACACTTTATGGCGGAGTGCGTACAGCATGGCTTGCAGTACGCATTGCGTGTAGGCGTGCTCCCAGCGGTAGCCGCGCACCGCCAGCCGCTGCAACTCGCCTTCGAACCACTGCAGTTGCTGGGAACTCATGTCATATCTACGCACACGGTAGTGACAATTTTGTTATCGAAGTAAGTTTGTTATTTTGGTCATTGTCGTGTGTTATGAAGTTACTCGACTTTATAGAAGACTGATCTGAATTGATGTTTTTGTCTCGACGTTCTGTGTGCAGTAGATCTAAGCTCCCTTTTCTATTCAAACTATTCTCTATATATGTGCTTTTATCGATTTCCGATAGCCGTTTAGGCTTCAAACTCTAACAAACATCCATCTATCCATCCATCTATACTTTCGCATATTTAAATTAGTAAGAACTTTCAACTATCGAGTATCAGAATAATATTAGGCATATCTAGGGTTCATGTTCATTCGAATGTTATTCAGATCGTTTAATTATAATAAATAGCTATGAGAGCAATTAGTTCAATAAGTTCATAAGCAAATGAATAAATAACTCACTTGTAGAGGGAGCCATCCTCCGGTTCGCTTTCGTAAATCGGCATGCATTTACCGAAAGCGAAATCTACAAAAATATTCGAATTTTATTTCTTAAGCTAAGAGGTTTAATAAATATAAGTACTACAGAATGTCTACGCACCATCGTAGCACCACTCCACTCCGTCGATACATAATGTAGCACTAAATAGGCAGCCTGTCGAAGTTACAAATATATCAGATTAAAAAAGCCTTCAATTCATAGCATAACATTTTTTTTTAATATTATATGATGGCAAAAGAGCAAGCGGAATCCGAAATGGCGAAGCGAACGCTGCCTAAAGAGGATATTTTCACTTCCTATGCGTCTTTGCCACCGCCAAATCCACTTTTCCTTCCAATTCTTTCCTCGTAAGAAAAGGGTCGAAAGGAAAAGGGACTAAAACGATTCCTCTGGCACTACACTCATCATACGAACTGCGGAATTGCTCCCACTTCACGCCTGTTTTCTGTGTGGTCGTGGTATTACACCGGGCGAGCCGGCCCATTCATGCGAAGATGTTAAAGCGGGCTCTACCACTGTTAAACTTATTATTTCTTACATATAAAGAAAAGAGTGAAGTATTAAGTTTTTAAAATAATTTTATTAACGCACAATCACTGTTGCAAGTATTCATCGAAATAGGTTAGAGTTATAGAAAAATTCAATTAAAAAATGTCTTCATGGACGCATCTTCTATAGTTATTACGATATATTGTAGCTATCGACTACGATCGATAGCAACTTTGCACAGAGATCGCCCTTGAGCTGGCTGTCGAGTTTATTCTAAAGCTTGTCATATTTTTTTTTTAATTAACACTATTATAGCTCAAAAGTAATTACGGTAATTTGTTATGATGACAACAAACATTTTCACTAAAAGCAAACTGAATACGACTCAAAGGTTACTTCAGTTAAATGGAAGGGCAAAAATACTTTGATTTTTTTCTTAACGATATATCTAATTTTACGATTGTTATTTGGAAACTAAGAACGGATATGTTTTAAGGTAAAGTTAAATTAGATATTAGTATCTATAAGCGAGGGTTCGGCCGTAAATAGACTTTGCGGATACGAACTTACGAACAAAACAATTGGTATCAAAACAAACAATCATTAACCAATAACACGTACTTATTCCTTAAGATTTAATCGCTTATATATGAAAGTAAAAGTTTACAGAATACACTTACCTATAGTAAACCTTGAACAATTTAAAGCCAACAAAGCTTTTATATTAGGCTGAAGATGAGATTAACTTTTTATAGTAACAGAAGGTAGAAGTGTTATTGATGGTAACTTACCTATGTTACCATCGGCTCGCGAGGGGGGCGCCAGCGTGCTGAGCACCACCAGCGCCCACAGGGCCTGCCGCCGCCACGACTGGCTCATCACATCTGCATCACAAATTATAATTTGTTATCGACCTCATTTCTGGTGTACTAAAAGTACATGGGTATCGGCGAAACACTAATGGATACGGTTGTTGTGTTGACTTTTATTATAAAGGTTGTTAATTTCAATTTGACATATTATCTGACAAGTGTGCCACTACACCTCCTTGCTGATGGTTGTTTTGCATATTATTATAATTATTGTACAATATTGTTAGCACAGTACAGTTTGAAGTCAAATTTGCCGTAGTATTAGTGGTAGATTACAAATTGTAACTTACACAAAAATATTTACACGTTATGCTATACAAACATGAAACAAAGGTACGAATTTCCCCGATCAAAGTTATAAGGTTGTTTACATTCATACAAACGTTTTAACTAAATTAATTTCAATGCATAAATTATTTTTTAGCTGTAGTTTAAATTTAACTACTCGTAATTAATTACAATAAATGATAAAGCATATTCATGATTTCTTTGTTTTAGGATTTCGTTTCAACAAGTTTTTTTAAGCATACATTTCCCATTTGCGTTATTATTGTTGTTGATCAATTTTCATCTCTAAACATTATTATTTCCGAATTGTACGTTTTACGAATTAAAATTATCACCTAATAATAAGGGGTAGATTTAAAATTGTAACACTGAAAAATTATAAAACATCGGGAAACTAATATGTTATTGCAATGATTTGTTTTTGAATTGTTAAATTGACTTGAAATTAGTGAAATTCAATCTAAACTCTGTTTTTATGTTCTTAAACTTTCCACAAAACGCTAAAATATACCTATGTCGGAAAAACATTCACAACATCAACAACTGAAACTAATTTAATTTCGAAAACAAACTAATATATTTAACTTAGCCAATGTAATTTATCACCGTTTAATATTGTAGCTTGCTATCTTAAAACGATCTATAGATAAGTTGTAGCTAAGTTATATGGAGGCCAGTGACGTAGGCATCTGCCCTTTACATCCCACGCACTTCGTGCTCACAGACCGGGAATGTATTGAACGAATTTTAACAAAAGCTTTCAATATTTAAACATTAAAATTTCTTTAAAAATAAATTTATTTCTCTATTTATTTACTCACTAACACATGATTTACATTATTTGTAATTTAACAATTTTGTCAAAACTGTGAGGCTTATATTCAGCACATTATTGCATCAATGCAAAGTTATTTATATTGTTTAATTTGATTTAAAACAAACTACAACAAATAGGAGATAAAAATCGTTGATAAACAAACACAATCACATAACACTTCTGTTAACTTGGACATGGAATGGCGTAACAGGTTTCAGCATAAAGATTACTTAAGAGATTTACATTTTACACTAAAAGAAAAGGAATTTTAAGGAAATTAAAGGTACGCACCGTTTAGAGACAGCGATTATTCCGGAACATATCGGTAGCAGGTTTCGCTGGTGTCAGTTGAAGTTGGTTTGCGACGTAGGTCGGGCCGGGGCGTCGGTGTTCGGTGCTCGATGCTCGCGGCTAGCAGAGACGATGGCGCGGACCTGCGCACTCCGCTCTATCGATCCCCAGCCGGCCCATTCACACGCGGCCACTTCGCCGCCTACATAACGATACCTTCAGAACCCATGTTATACTTCAATCATCATTAGATAACGTTATAAGCCAAAGCTTTCACTATTATAACACTTGGAACTATCGACTGCACTTTATCCCGATATATACCACTGTAGTAAGGAAAGTAAATAGATATATTTATATATTGTCAGGAGTTTGCGATGATGACAGGGACGTAATGGCGCCCTCAAGTTATCGCAAGAGCAGTTCCCTGCATGCTAATGACGCGGTTAAGCGATAACGTCTGTCGGCCTAGCTACTAAGTTTGCTTTTAATTATTCCACATTGAATTCAATGTCAATAAATTTAAAAGCTTCACTATGTACTGCTTATACTAAATTAAAAGATTCTACTGTCGTAACAATATGCTCTCCCTCCTTACAGTCCCCTTGCACATAATCCGTCTATATATTTTTCCTGCTTTATCTACCCTGTTAGTCAAAGCTAAAGCAAAATTAATTTTAATTTAATCTAAAATGTTCTAATGAATATGGAAATTAAGCAACTCGAGGAGATATTTAATACGCATCTTAGTGACGTCATAGGGAAAATATTAAATGAAACGGGAACACGTAGGTGGAACTCCGAGGTAAAGCAAGCCTACGCTGTTGACAGATTGAAGGAGTTATTAATAAAGCGAATCAATACCTTCGCTCAGATTCATCTGAAATCGCAACAATTTGTTGATACCTTTATGTTGGAGCCAGTTCCAGGACTATGTTTTTAATATTTTATCCTTAACAAACAGTATAGATTTGTAATACTGTAATTTTATAACTAGTTATCAAATTCAACTTGTTTTATTTTATTTTATTTTATTTAGTAAATAGCGACAATATTGTTTTTCTAACGTTATTCATTCTCAGCCGCAAGTTAAAATCATCTACTTTTTACAATTGTGGAGTATTTATTTTAAATTCTAATGATGTCATCTCGTTCGGGATTGCCGTCTCATTTAAATGCAGTCGTTGAGGCAGGCATCCGTTTTATTAAATTTTTATTTAATCGTGTCTAGTAAGGCTATTATAAAATACTAGCTTTTGCCATGACTCCGTCCGCGTGGAATTAAAAAACAAAACTGAGTAGCTCATGTGTTCTTCCAGACTATCCTCTACGTCTGTGCCAAATTTCATCGAAATCCGTTCAGGCGTTTAGGCTACAAACTCTAACAAATATCCATCCATCCATCTAAACTTTCGCATTTATAATATTAGTATGAAGTATAATTGTGAACTTCAAGAAATTGGTGTTCGAAATTCAATTAAGATAATTGCAAACATCGAGGATTCCCAAACTATTCATCAAACATTTTTTTTAATACGTTGTTCAAATTCTATAGTACTTTAACACCACCTATGCGTTTCAAACATCATCATTCCTTCTTACTTCGTAACCGAAGACTATGGACGCCATTAGCCCGTCTAAAATCTTTTCAAACCTATAGGTTATTGAATATAACATTACTTATAGATAGAAGGAAGTGAGTATTGATTTCTTTGCATACAGTTGTTAGTTGTACGGGTCAGAAGTTAAAACAGAATGTTGTGGGCGATAATCCGGCAAAAGGGCAACTACGGAATATAATGAAAATGTTTTAGCTGACATTTTCAAAGAGACATCGTAATATTAAACGAATTGTACATCGTGTTATTACAAGTTAACGGATTTAGCAACAACGGACACAAACAAATGAAATATGTATAAAATAAAGTTCACGTTTCAAATTACGCAGACTTTAGAAGTGGTTTTACTGAAAATAACAGTGTTCGTACTTTTATGTGCGGAAACATGATTCCAATTAAAGTTTGTGTACTAACTGGTAAAGATCATTATTTTAATTGGTTTTATTGTAACCTTTTTTCATAAATAAGTTCGGAACAGCCGTACTCAGAATCATTTAATCATACTAATGTTATAAATGCGTAAGTTTAGATGGATGGATGTTTGTTAGAGTTTGTAGCCTAACAGCTCAACGGATTTCAATGAAATTTGATTCAAATGTAGGGGATAGTCTGGAAGAACACATAGGCTACTTGCTTTTTAACACTTGTTTTTTTAATTCTACGTGGACGGAGTCGCGGGCGTAAGTTACTGGTAAGATAATCCTTTAGAGTTGCGACAATAGAGGTTTTTACTTTGATGCGTATTGTTTTGTTTTGATCACGTAAAAAGCAATAGATGCAAATATCTTTACTTTTGGCGTCACGGGCGTATACACAAATGCTAAGTTCAACGACCCCAATATTCATGTAACATCGCGACTGTTCATCAAATCGATAGATTCGCAAACATTTCATATACTTACAAATAAATGAGCTGTTTTTATTGTTTGGTTAAGATTGACTTGTTACCGAAACTTTAGAGGGATGGATGTTTGTTCTAACTACCTCCCCTTTTAGGTATCTCCAAAATGACATACGTATCGCGATGTTTGTCACAGTCATAGAAAATAGTCTAAAACATACCTAGACTACTTATTAAGTTTTGTTTTAATTGTGCGTGTATGGAGTTCTGGTAAAAGTTAATTATTAAAACGAAAATTATAAGCGTTTATGTAGTCGTTTATTATCAAAATTATCATACACGTAGGTACAGATTTATTCAAGGTACTGTACATTTTTACATGAACAAAGAAAAATTATGGTTTCACATTCCAATTATCTTGAATAACAAACCAAAAATTGGGTACCTATCTATGAATCAAAATGTACATACTACATACTGACTAAATAGTCGTTTCTATTTTAGTTAAACAATCGTTAGAAAATATAACCTCAAAATGTATTTAACATTCCAATATATTCAGAACTCTGAATTACATATCACGTGAGTTTCCATTGCCGAAACACCTTTAAACAGACGTTTTTTCAATGAGCGACAGAGATAGCAATATTATATTGTATAGGTGTTTGAGAAATAGAAACTCAAGACAAGAAAACGTGTTATGAAAGAAAACAATTATTAATTTATAGAGGTAATTATTTGACCTCGTAGGCATAAGTCAAATTGAATAACTCGCTAGCGCCCTCTTTAAAGGTCGGAAAAATGTCACCAAAATCCATACAGTACTGTGCTGTCTTGTGTATTTTCATGACTATTTATTTATACAGAACCAGCCGCGAAAACAGCGCCTCTCTTTTCAGATATCCTTGTTAGACTACAATTCGCACCAAACGCATAGGTTAACAATCAATTCAATAAATTATTTTAACTATATGATCTCAGCTTTACATAAAATTATTCGAGAATTATTCTTCTGCGCCGAGGATAACATTAAATGTTAAATCAAAAAATGCCTGTCTATTTATAAAGGTCAGTGATAAAAAGAGAAAGGCATACAAAAACATGTCATCTTTGACACTGCAATATTGTGTACGGGTTTTTCAGTCAATGGAAACTGTTGGTTAAATAAAGATTGCAAAATATTAACTGAAAGGTTAAAGCTAAACTTTAATATCAATGGATATTCGACATGTTACTAAACGTACGTAAGCAAAACGAATACATTATTTTCTACGTTTAAAATAATACATATAACATAAGTAATAATTAAATACAATAATGAGTTTTAAGAAATCAAAAACAGTTCAGTTATTTTGTAGCAAATATTGTGCGATACCGAGATATACCAAATTAATTTTATATATCAGAGAAACAAAACTAACACTAATAATGTATTACAAAATGGTAATAAACCAGATTTTCCGATATATATCTTTAAATTAATATTTAAACATTACAAAAGTCTAAACCGGAGTCGATTACCATTTACACTGGGTTACAATATGGTCGAGAGATATTTAAATCAATTTCTTTGAACAAACCTATAAACAAATACAAAATATAGATTCCAGTAAATCAACTAAAAAGGACATGAGACTCATTTCATAAACGTCTATTTTATGTTATAGTAAACACGTATCGTTTAGTTACGTTAAGACAGTAGTGACGTCATATTAATAGTCTTTTTTTTATCATAGAGGAGGCAAACGAGCCGCGGGAACACCAAGATGTTCATCGACGCCCATGGACATCCGCAATACCAGAGGAACTGCAGTTGTGTTGCCGGCCTTTGAGGAGGTGATAAGCTCGCTTCTTGAAGGACCCTAAGTCCTGTTATTGTGCTTGAATAAGCACTTTTTATTTGCATTATTAAAATTAAAAAGTAACCAAGAATAAATCTGGCATGTCCTGCCTTTAATCGAATAATTACATCACTTTCTAATGTTTTTAAATTGATTTCGCATTTTACTCTATAACGAGGGTTTCTATATACCTGGTCGGTGATACAAATTATTTATACAGATAATGTATTTATTGGAAATTCGTATATAATACGAAACTAGTTAGAAAAACACTGGCAAGAAAGTAAATTTATTCTAAGCGATAATAATTTTTTATCCAAAATATCTTAAACTACCAGAACTTTATTCGTGATTTTGGTAAACAATAGTTATTAAATTAATTACGATATTCTAAAATATACAAACAAAGACTTATTTATTGCATTTAAAGCGACGATATCTATAAAAATCTAGTATTGAAATATTTAGGACCTGTCCCACCACTGGCTGATAGAGGCTCAGATAGCTTAAAAATGAAGTCACTTTCAGATAAGGTTACAAAAAACGATATTTTCGTTACATATTTTACACGTTGGATTGTTATCAGATAATTTACAATGTGGTAGTAGTACAGGCCCTAAAGTATTATAAACAAAAGATAACGAGCAAGAAAACTTTATATTGTTTTTCAACTATCAAATAAACAATGAAAATTCCGTTGAAACAAATTCCAATCATTACGGAAATTAGGAAGTAATTATTAAAAAGCTGTCACAATTTCACTTACAAAACATTTTAAATAACATAAGTTGCAATTTGCTACCGTGAAAACAAAAACTAAAACATAAAACTTCAAACATTTTCAATCATATTCAATCAAAACTCTAAATTCCTTAAACTAAATATTGTTCCGTTAATTTCACATTGACTAGGCGCAGTATTACCTTTTGTTCTCAAACCTTCCAACAAACAGACAAAAAAACATGCAGTCATATACAGTATTGGTACCTATTTATAATCAAGAACGTAAAAATATTCGAGCTGCATTTATGACTATAAATTATATTACAATTGGCATTTATAAGTGCAAAAATATAGCACGAAACCGAAACAAAATTATCTAAAAAGGACTAAAACATAAGTTGGTTTTACCGACATTTCTATTGTATTATTTTCTCAAACTTCTATTAATATTGAAGTTTTTTTTTATCTCAATTTTTTTCGATATGTTAATAGTAATTAAAGACTGCAAGAGACTCTATAAAACAGACAAAACAAACATAAAACGTAATAAAAGTAGGAAGAGATCGTCCATTAATTGCGTGAAGCTAGAAAATCATAAAAGGGGGAATTATAAAATAACACGAAGAGGTAGAGGGAGGGGGAAACAAAACAAATATCAATCATAATTGTAAAAGTATGGATGGATTGATGTTTGGTAGTTTGTAGCCTAAACGGCTGAACAGACTTCAATGAAATTTGGTACAGATGTACAGGAAGAACACATAGGCTACTCACTTTTGTTTTTTTTTCATTCCAAGCGAACGAAGTCGCGGGAGAAAACTTGTTATAAATATTTCCTGACTAACTTTAGATACAAAGTGAGGAGAGGTAGTGTAAAACCTTATCACATATAAAAAAGAGGGGGATCGAAAAATTCTAAAAACACGCGTTCAATAGACGATCCTTAACGAAAAGTTTTACTATATGCAGTGGGAGTAGAAATATATTTACTTACAACCATTTTATCTGATATTGACTAAAATTCTGAGTATTCATGATTGCTGACATGCAGAAGTTTCTAGACTAACATTTACAGCGAGAATAAGAACCGTTCTTTGACAACATTAAATTACGTATTACAAACGTCCCGTTAAACTTTTACTTTTATTGTATAGAGGAATAGTGTCACATTATTTAGTATTTTATAATATTTAAAGCACTTTTTTAACCATTGCGTAAATAATCATTTGTCATCATCATATTTTGACAAAAAAATAGACTTTATATAAAATTGTAGCTTTTGTGAATGGTCGTATATTTCCATACTAATTATATCAAGGGAAAAAATGTTTTTGCATGTATTGAAATATCTCAAAAATTATTGGGTTGATTTTATAACTTTTTACACTACTAAAAAGCTAAGTTATCACCAAGTAGTATATGTTATTTTTTTTAATTTATTACCACACGGACGAATTCGAGTGCAACTAGTATTTGATATGTTTCTTTTAATATGGGAATGTTATTTAGGTTTGGAGGGGCAAGGGGGTGCGGGTCGGTGCGGGCGGGGGGGTTCTTCATACACTTCGTCATACAAACACGCGTTAGTATAAGTGACTCTGGAATATCTTTCACCGTCACCTATTTCACTATAAAGATGGTTGTCTGTATCCGCTACAGCGTCGTATCTCATCGCGGCTGTTGCATACGCGTAATCGAAATCCGTATTCTGATATTTAAATGCCGAATAATTCTTAGAATTCTCCAAAGAATCACTGAAATTCTTCAATTTCTCCCCTTCTTCTTCATATTTAGGTACATATATATTCTTTTCGTAGTTATTCCGTTTAATCGTTTCTATAGGTGTCAATTTGGTATAATAATCCTTTTCTAACATGTACTGTTGTGAAATATTTGGTTCGTTATCGTAAGTAAATACTTCATTGTTTGTGACATTCGTGTTATATTTTGATGTGGAAGGAGCGCTATAGTTGGTATTGGAGTATATATTATCAGTATTGGAATTTTTCGATCTGAGATTTAATGATTCTGATATTCTGTCGTCCAGCGACATTTGTGTTAACGATTTTACTAAATCTCTATTCGATTCTCTTTCACTGTATGTATTTACATTTGCATTATTTAGAGGAGTACTGTAAAGTGTGTTATTTTGATTGGAATAATTGCTTCTGTTTAAAGTAGACAGATTATTTGAAATTTGTGTCTCCTGTTGTATATTATTCGAATATATTTGAGATTCGTTATTACTGAGAGGTATAGAATCATTTAATTGTATATCATAGTTAGGTCTTTGAGGTATATCTTGATACGAAGTCCAAACGTGGGTAGTCTCGAAAGGGTCCGAATGATCGATAAAACTCTGATTGTGGGTAGATGAAGAAACGTTGAGATTGTCTAATGATTTAGCACCATATAGATTGGGGAAATCCTGTGAGGTTGAACATGAAGGAAGACTTTCTATACTTGGTTGTCCCCAATTCGGTTCTTGACCTGAAAATTACAATTAAAATAGTATAACATAAGAGACGACCTTTTAAATATTTTTTTTTAATTAAAAAGGGGTAATATTTACCGAGTTCAGGCACATCAATCGGCTCATCCAGAATAGAGGAGGCGATGTCTTTTAATGGTTTCTTGTTCGCTGAATTCACTTTAATCGACGGCGGCATGTCCAAGTCTATAAGCAAATCTTCTCTAACTGTAAACAAAGAAATAACAATATAAAGTGATATAAGATGTTTGTTTATTACACTCGTTATAAGATTTTGAATGTATAAATAACATATTTTTGTGTTTGTAGGTAAATAAAAACACGAGAATTTAATGCAGAAAAGAAAGATACCTTACTACATATTTATCTGTATATACTAATATCATCACGATGTTTTCCTTCACCGTATGAACGTCAAGGAAATTATGTACAATCGAGGAAAATTGCGGTGAACCCCTAAAAAACTACAATCGTTTGACCATTTTGAAACGAGACGTGGAACAAAAACCAATACGCGGCTTATAAATCTGTACGAACAATAAAAACAATTTGACTCAAGGATAGTTTACTTTTTAATATCCCTTCGCTGGTACCAGTCACTGCTATGTAATAAGTTATTTGTAGGAAGAGGCAGAGTGTCTCGTTGCAATGAACAAGGCAATTTATCCTGAAGTGGAACGCCGCGAATTTTCGCAACTGTACATATGACATGTGTGAAACATCAGTGGGGACATATAGGGAGTAGTGTTGATGGCACTAATGTACTAGGGCATTCCTACCTTGATTGAGACTTCTAGAATGGTAGTCCCTTGTATCCCTGGCGCTGGAGTTTGCGGCCAGCGAGGCTCTATCATTAACGAGCTTATTGTAGTTGAAATGCTTGCTGCCGGAGTTGCCGGCGCGTGTGCTAGGCGGCTGCGTTGACTCTATAGTACGCCGCTTGCGCAAAACCACAGCGGAATCGTCCGATATACCGTTTACAGATGGGGTAGGTTGAACTAAAAGGTAATTACACGAATAAAACAACTGATGTAATGTTTGATATTCGTCATACTTCTGAAAAGCCACTCCTTTTGTGTTCAATCGATATATAACGTTCCTATTTGCTTAGTACCGGATGTCTTGATAGATAATTTGGTTTATCGCATAACTGAATCTCATGTAAAAGCGACATGAAATTTAACGTGTTTCTTGAATACGACGATGTTGGTTTCAATATTTTCTTACTAATACTATAAATGCGAAAGTTTGGATGGATGTTTGTTTTAATTTTAAGCCTAAACTGCAGAACGGATCTCGATGAAATTTGGCATTGATGCTGATGATAGTTTGGAAGTACACATAGGCTAATTACTTTTATTTTTAATATCCCGCGGACGAAGTCGCTGGCGAAAGCTAGTATTACAATACAGTTTTAAACAAATGCGCGTTATTCTAAGTTGTATTATAATTGAATTAGATACGTCTATCATATACCTTCAGTAGTCATAGATTAGCGACTGCCAAGGTCAAGTATGGCAAGTTAGCACTTACGTAACATATCAAGTAACTTCAATTATCAATGAAATGTCGCATAAACACGATTTATGTTAATTTATGCGTTTTTGTATTAAAAAGATAAGGTTTACTTAGAACGTTATATTTCAATTTATATATCGAACAGTATTTTTAATAAATAACATTTTTCTGACTTTTGCCCCATAAATGAAAATTTTCATAAGCGATCTTAGCAAATGCTTTTACTTAATTACTAAATTTAATCATAATATTTATTTATGAGATATTTAAAAATTAGATAGAGCTATTCAATTTGTTTCTGTATCAAGTTACGGTCTACATTTGTTCGCAACTTTATTTATTTTCCACAGAGTTGTGTACACACGACCGCATTAATTCGCACATCCCGTGAAAGGCGATACTCCAGCCAGTCTCATTTCCTTCATACCCCAGAATACAGTCAGTGTTGTTGGCAGAAATGTTTACTACGTTTAAGTAATTCTTTCGTGTTTTATTTTTGCACCTATGTAATATTATTTTACAACGAAATAGTAGAGATCTTTTATAATAAACTAGCTGTTCCCGTGCGGCTTCATCCGCATGAAATTATAAAATTTTTATTTTATTGTCAAATTATCAATTGCAAATGGCAAAATGGCATGACATGGCACACCTTGGCAATCTTGCTTTCTAGATGGTGGTAGCAACTTATGGTCTCTTTCTCACATTAGGGGTTTTATCCAAAATATTTACCCCTGAGTTTAACGGCGTGAAAATATATAGCTAAAGCGTGACGTAAGTGTAGGGCTTTTTATTAAAAAAAGAGTTATTCGAAAATATGCTGTGATTGCTGACATCTTAGGCAACAAAGAAGTGTGTGTTTACGCTTTATTATAATAATATAGATGATACATTCAACAAGGATTTTCCGATTTACCTATAGTTAGCTAAGTCAACATTTAATTATCACGCGGGCTAATTCAGAAATGACATTCTACCAATTTTTTTTTAATCATAATACGATAGAAATGGTTTTAGAAAATAGAGTATTAGTCTATAAATCATTACGATTTTTTAATAATTCGGTGCTAATAGTGAAACGGATGACGTGAGCTATGCAACAGTTGCGAGTAAACAATATATCACGTTGTAACGCAATATGTTGCCATTTACGTGAACGCTCGCGATCTGCATTCTAATGACCGGGGATTTACGCTAACACTATCGATTTATTTAACTATATACACATATGTTTACTACTAACTGTTGCCCGCGACTTTGTCCACGCAATATTACGATAAAAAAGTAGCCTATAATATGCCCGTTAGTGAACATCCAGTCGAAAACAAACGCAGCGTGCGGACAGACAGACAGACAAAAATAGTTTAAATGCAGTTTCGTTATCAGCAACGCAAATACATCATCTTCCCGAAATCTAGAATTTTTCTTTTGATATTACAAACAGACACTCCAATTTTTATTTAATTACATATACGTATCAATATAAATACGAACGTTTGCAGGAATTGATGTTTGTAAGACTTCCTAAAAGACTAAACGAATCTTGATAATTGGAATAACACAATAATCATTATTATTTTTTTAGTCCATGCGAAGATGTTGCGGTCGACAGCTAGTTATATAATTTTTTTTATTTATTATTTAAACAATAGTCGAATGGATGGTTTCGAACTCTAGATCACGTGATCGGAAAACCGTACTTTTAACCATTAAGGTTAGAATCTATTACATAAAATTATAGATACAAATGTAACTCACCTTTTCTCATCGGCGAAGTAGTCAATGGTTTTTTAGTTGATGGTACATTTTTGCTTTTGGCTACACTCACTAAAGTACTGAAAATATATGAAGATTTAATTACAACTTTAATCATTTGGCCTGAAATATTTATGTCTTATATTTAGGCAAAGTAAAAAGGTGAATATTTTAAATTGATTTTAATATTAATTGATATAATTTTAAAACATTATGCTTGTGTAAGACGGTTTGAAAATTATTAAAACACTTCAAACCTGGGAAAGAGGCCGACTTCCAATGTCCGTTGGTTCTGACCCTTCCACCAGTGCAACTCCGGTCTCTTGTCAATTAATATGATAGCATCTCCTGCCTCTATGGTCATTTGACCTTGTTTGTGGTAGCTACAATAAACAATATAATGTCAAACCAATACCTTACTAATATTATAAATGCGAAAGTTTAGATGGATGAATGTTTGTTAGAGTTTGTAGCCTGAACTGACGAGATCACAATGGCATAGATTTACAGTATAGCCTGGAAGAACATATATCTACCTACTTTTGTTTTTTTTTTAATTCCACCCAGACAGAGTCGCGGGCGAAAACTAGTATATCATACAGATTATTACTAAAAGTCATAAACGCAAGTAAAAAACTAGGAACCAAATAATCTTAACATTAAAAGGTTACAAGAATTAGATCTAAATTGAATAACGGACCTTACAAAAAGAAATGTTGAACCTACCTTAAGCTGGCGATTGCAGTTTCGAATTTATTTGTTTCCATATATCGTTGTATTCCAGCGAAGGTCGGTCGTTCTTTAGGATTTAGGTCCCAGCACTGCATCATCAACATATAAATGTCTGGAGGGCAGGCAGCGGGGGATGATAACCTTTGCCCTTCTCTCATTATGAGTCGAAGGATCTCTGAACCATTTAAACCTAAGACAAGATTAAAGAAAGTAACACTTAGTGATAACTGTGTGATTAACTTTAGTACAATTGTGGCATTGAAAGTGTTACAGGCACAAAATACATCGTCTTACTAATAAATGCGAAAGTGTAGATGAATGTTTGAGTTTGCCGGCTGTACGGATTTTGAAGAAATTTGACATAAATGTAGAACAATACCTGGAAGAACACATAGACTATTAAGTTTTATTTAATTCCACGCGGACGGAACCGCGGGTGAAAGCTAGTTGTAATATAATTTTAATGAGATTGGAAATTAAAAAAGAATTAGTTTATAATGATTGTTGATTGCGTCTACATTGACAAACTCAATTAGAGATATGTTTTGTGTTGTACTTGTTATAAAAACATTACACTGGCAAAATGCACATTCAATTGGTATAAATAAACATGTATTTTTAATTTACATAATATTACAATACATGAGTAATACTCATAATTATATTTTAGAATTCTTTAACAATTGTGTACAATAAAATAGAAGCATATAACATCTTATAAACATACCACAAACTGATATTCTAAGATGAAAAATCTTATTCTATTCACCATCCTTCTCTTCTATTAACAAAAAGCTTAAATAACAATAAATAACATCTGTCCAAGTTGCCTACTATCTATACTATTATAATAAAGCGTAAACACACACTTTGTTGCCTAAGATGTCAGCAATTACAGCATATTTTTGAATAATTCCTTTTAATAAAAAGCCCTACATTTACGTCATGCTTTTAGGCTACAATTTTTCACGCTATTAAACTTTGGGGGTAAATATTTTGGATAAAAACTCTAATGTGGGGAAGATACCATAAGTTGCTGCCAACATCAATAAAGCAAGAATGTCAAGGTTGTCATGTCATGTCATTTTGACATTTGCATTGATAAAAATAAAATAAACATGCAGGTGAAGCTGCATGGGAAGAGCTGGTTATAAATAAAAAAATGCTCTATGTTACTCAGTGATAAAATAACTTTTTAATGGTGGAAGAATTTTAGAAATTGGTCCAGTAGTTATTTTAATAGATCCAAAAATACAAATCTTTCCTCTTTATAATATCAGTATAGATTAAGCACTCACCCATCCATGGTTCTTCACCAAACGAATACATCTCCCAGAGTGCGACAGCAAACATCCAGACGTCAGATGCATGGGAGAACTGTCTTGAGCGCAGTGACTCCGGAGCACACCAGGGGAATGGAACTCTTCGTCTCTCACTCATCACATAACAGTCATCCGCATCAGGCAAAGCTCTCATCAGACCAAAGTCACCTATTTTGACCTATATTAGAATTAAATATAAACACCATCAAAACAAGAGCTATTTGTTTTTAGTGGATTGTAAGACAACTAAACAGACTATGTTGGTATCTTAATCTATGCAATAAATAAAAATGGGGTGTCATAATGTAATAAGAATAATTTTAGTATTTTTATTTTAATCTGCAAATTTGCATTTGTTTTGGAAATTGTCTAAAATGCAGGTATGTATATTATAGATTTATTAAAAAAAGCTTAGTTATTGGTGACCACTAATAATAAAATAATTGTATATGTTACTTACCAAATCTAAACTAGATAACAATATATTCCTGCACGCAAGATCCCTGTGTAAAAACCTAGATTTTTCTAAATAGGCCATTCCCGCCGCAACTTGTCCTGACCATTTTGATATGTAATTTAATGAGACTTTGCCATTTTGTGCTCTAATATAATCCAACAATGCTCCCATATTTGCTAATTCACACACCATCATTAAAGGATGGAATACAACTCCATGTAACTTTATTAAATTATGATGCTTCAAGCTATGCATTGCTTCTACTTCTCTTCTAAAGTCATCGTAGATCCCTGGCTGTGAGAAAGCATCTGCTTTAAGCACTTTTACTGCAACAGGCACCATCTGACTTGACTGATCTGATACTCTCCATTCTCCACGTTTCACTACACCAAATGAACCATTACCTAGTTCATTATGCAATCTGCAAAATATGACTAAAGTAATAAAAAACCTAACAAAATATAATAATATTAGTTCCTTTCATAGAAAGATATTTAAACCTGTGTTTATATTGATATAGTCCTAATATACACTCAATATTGAGATTTACATTTATAACAAGAGATATTTATTACTTTAGATAATTTACTTAACTTACACAATATCTTTCTCCAGGATAATGCATGTAGTTGTTCGTGATTCAGTAGAAGCTTGTTGTCTGATAGCCAAATCTGTTTTCTCTCGGGTGACTGAACTTGTGCCAAACAGTTTGTTCCAAAATTTTCGATTCCATAGTTGTAGTTTCTTCTTTTTAACAGCATCAAATAATCTGCGTACACCTGGCTTGCTGATGCCAATTTTTTCAAGATCATCTGCATGCACATAGTCAAAATGTGCTAACCTTGTAATCTAAAATTAAATTGGTATTGAATATCACTTGCCTTAGCTTTAAGTTAACTATCTTTACTATTGCAAGCTACACTTAGAGGGAAAAGCAAAAGACAGTTATTTAAGAATAGAATATGCGATTTCCTTGCATTGTTTACCTGCAATTGATCTCTAATTGGCAAATAAAATTGTTCCAGCTGCACATTTTGTAAAATTTCACATAGCCATTCTGTTCCGGAATCCATATTCATAGTTATAAAATTGCCGAGCTACCTTTGCAATATATAAATTAGAAATCTACTAGAAGGTAACATCTCAAGCAGGAAGCTCAAATTATCTTGGGAAAAATAATGTAACTGCAGTCAGATTTTCTATTTAAGACGTAATATCACTTAATTGCAAACACTGTGTTATATTCGTAATAAACTATAATATTTTTCATAAAATTTTAATAAAAAATAATTTAACTCTTTCGAAGAAACACAAAATAACAATTAAATTTCACTTCATTTCATTTAGAGTTCTATTTCAAAGAGTAATTGACACTTCGAAAAGCTTTAAGGACCAGAAATGATTTCAAAGATTAAAAGAGCTGAATCGATTTTGACTTTTTCGTTTTTGCGTAAAAATCGATTTAAAACAATGAACGCGAGGTTCTATATCTATGAGTTGGTAATATTAAGTAAATAATTTATCACATATATAATATAGATTTCTATGTATTAACTTTATTAAGGATCAACTGAATCAACAACGAATAACATAGTTTACTCAAAATATTGCATGGTGATTGCAATTTGGTGCTGAGAGGATCTTGAAAAGAAATTCATTGTCAATGGTAACGACAACAATTTTATTTATAAATAAAAAATCAATGACGTTGTCCATCATTTTCAGTTTTCAACAATTTTGTGAAATATAGCTATTCGAGACAAAGTTTTACTGTTTTACGAAATGCAGAACTTGTCGGATGAAAGTATTAGCGAAGTTAAATTTGTTAACTTCGGATCTGTTGCTGTGGATACAGTTATTGAAAAATACGTTCTAATACAAAATATATCTGACGTAAGTAGAATTTTGACTAAAAAGTCAACGTAGTATTTTCATTGTCGAGTAATCCACACATAAAAGTAATAAGCGGCTATACGGATATTGTCCACATTACGTAATTTCAAAACTACCGTCATCTCAGAGAAGTCGTTACATATTTTCAGAGGATAACAACGTACCGTGTATCTCTACTTTACATATTGAACACGATAGATCAAGTTTTCAAAGTAGAAGTTACTTCTACTCCTGTAAAACCACAAGAAAGTGCTGAAGTCACAATCGTATTTAAACCAAATGTTGTGGGCCTATCTTACACGGAATATTATATAGTTGACGATACTTACGGAAACAGTTACAGAATAACAGTAACTGGCAAGTGCTTCGGTACGTTTATTAATTTATATTGTCAAGCATTGCTAAGAACATGTTATAAATTTGTTGATTGATTATATCGCAGGACCGAAGGTTACATTAAGCAAGAAAAAAATTGCTTTTACTATTTGCAAGAATGTATCGGAGCAAAGGAAAGATACGATCAATATCGTTAATAAAACGGACGTAGATACGACCTACCAATGGCTTTTGCCATATGGTGGTCAAGGATTCTTCCAAGTAAGCATCTTCTATTAACACCTCTTACATATCTCTTACAATCACACACATAAAAGCTTTAACAATAAATATTGCATACTACGGTAGTAATTTACTGAAGTTGACTTGTCCGTACAGATTTCAACGGGCAGCTGTGGTTTGATTCGAGCGTTTGAAAATATCCCAACAACAATCGCCTTTACCGGTGTCGCTCTAGGCTTGTATACAGCTGAATTAGTTTTTTTAGTATTAAATCAGGTAAGATTATTTCGACTTTTAAAACGCCATATATTTTTAACACTAAAAGAATAAACTATTCTTCTAGGAGCCATTGTTTGTAAGTGTGATAGCCACAGTTTCATTGCCAGCCAGCATCTCGTACAATGTGGATGAACATATATTTGAGAAGCATTGGAAACGCAAAAGTCGTTATAACTATTATATGGAGAATAGTCTTAACCGTTTGACTTACATACCCTCGGCCTCGGTTTACGAAAGATATCTCGACTTTGGGATGGGGAGCCCAACAGATATCAGCATGAATATATCACAAACGCTTTGTGTCACTAATCACGAACCCGTCGAGGGCTATATGCAGTGGATACCAGGTTTGAGAGTATAATCATAAAAGTAAAAAAATGGTGGGGAATCTACGAAACATAATTATGTATAGGCATTTTACTAATTTGATGTAGTTTGTTGAATGTAACTCGCATATTCCTTTTCTAATGTCTACTTACGGGTCGTTTACGCTATTACAAAAAATCGCATTTATTAAAACCTAATTTATAATTAACAGACCCTGATAACATATTCTTAGTGGATCCAATCGATGCAGTGATCCCTTCTAACGAATCAAGATTGTTTACTATTCGGTTCAGGTAATATAATAAGAATCATATTATTTTATTACTATTAGAATTACTAATAGTACTAACAATTATTAGCATATTGAATAGAATCTTCGACTAATCGTATAATTTGAGACTATACTACTCGTTGTATCAGACCGAAAATCGAAAATGACGCATATGGATACTTACTATGCGGAGACTATCAATATAAAGTCGAAACCAGTGATGGAATAGTTAAATTCAAACACACTTGGGTCCGCATACCGTGTATTGGTAATACCTGGTCACCCTGCACCGAATGGTTGACAGCTTGGGATTGTCCTATTGAGGTATATAAATTAATTACGTTTAAATCTATTATTCTCTTATATTTTGGCGTATTGTATTAATAAATAAATTACAGGTCACCTTACCCCCAACTGTACCGGCTCGGACTACGTTTACAAACTTCATGTTATCAAATAAATTGGAAATACCGATGTATTTCAAATTTCAAGCACCTTACAAAACGTATGGTATTTTACTTTAATATATTACTGGAATCAACCAGGTCACGCAGGCTACGAACTACATTCGTGTTTACAGAAATTTTGTAGTAATGCCAATGTGCGGAATAGTGCAAGGCCGAGGCTGGCAGATAGTATCAGTAGCTTTGGAGCCGATGTCATTTGGTGAATATTACGAGTCATGGGATTTGATAATAAATAGAACTCATAAGGTGTATAAACATATCTATAAAAAAAAAAACAAATTAAAAATGAAATCTATGGTTTTTTTAATACCGTTTATTAAAGGCACGCGTGTCTCTATGTGGGAATGCTGAAGTGAGTCAAATAGATGTGATGTCTCACGGTTACAATCCATCCGCTCACGCAATGTACGAGTTCCCACCGACTATCACTGGATGTACCAATTACTGTACCGCTTACCTTCACAACTTGACGAGAATGGAAATACAGTTAGTATTTAAAATCGATTATTCGTAAATCGATTTTAATCGATTAAATAGAAAAACAAAAAACCCTCACAGTATGATGTTTTCTCAATGTAGATGAAGTGTTTTATTGAAAAATCAGTTTAAATATTTCCGATATTTTTTTAGTATGAGAGTACTGAACAACGTGGAATGGCTAGGAGCGGACGACAGCGGCGCGATAGTGCTGCCTCCGCGGGAGATCGTGCGCTACCATTGGTGGTTCTTCCCCAAGGAGACGGGCAAAGTCTATGGGACAACAGTTTGCTGTTCATGCGTTTGCCTTATAAATGGCAAGTTAGTATACTTACATGTTTTTTAAATTATTTTTCCACATAAAAAGCAATAGTTATATCAGAAATATTATGTTCTTGGTTTCAGACCTATTGGTGAGCCTACTGAAATATTTATTAACATCACAGGATTTTCAGAGACGCCGGATTTAAGGGTTAGTTTTCCTGGCATTATTAAATTTAAAATATTATAGTAATTTTATTTGTAGGTGTAATACGTTGCTTATGTTTATCTATTTTATGTTGGTCACTTCATTATTTGTCTACTAAAAAATTTAAAGGTTATCCCGAAGACAACAAACCTTCACGATTTGGTGGTTGGTGCGACCACAACATTTACTGTCACCCTCTATAACTACGGCACTTGTTTCTTCACTTCCAAACTGTACTACGACATCGACGGCATGGGTGATGATTTTCAAGGAGATAGGATCGATATTGAAAATTCTATTGTAAGTTCTTTTTTTAAATTCGAGTTGCAGCACAAGATGGTGGCGTTGGCGAGCTAATCTGACCGTTAGACGATTTAAAATTACGAATGCTTATATCTCTATTTTGAAAACAGCTTACAGATTTAACAGGTTTTATGCGTAATTACGCATAATACCTGTTAAATCTGTAAGCGTAATTACGCATAAAACCTGTTAAACCTGTAAGCTACCGCAGTTGAATTCAACTAGGGAACATATAAAGAGAAGAAATGAGAAATAATGTGTAAACTGTTTTGACGATTTAGGGTCTGTCCCACCAAATTGTAAATTGTGATAATAATCCAACGTGTAAAATATGTGATGGAAGTAATCGATTTTGTTCCCTTATGTGACAGTGAGGTCATTTTTAAGCTGAGCTTCTATCAGCCAGTGGTGGGACAGGACCTTACTATTTTTTCTCTTAATTGTTGTATTTATAATACCAGAACAGTCTTAAGCCATCAAACTACTGTGAAGTGAAGTTATCAGTGACGCCTAAGGGTGCGGGCTCTCGTCAAGTTGATATTCGGTATACTGTTCTCTTTCGATCTGCTTACGATGAGATAGAAGAAATACAACCCGTCACGAAGTCAATCTGTACGTTCTGGTATGATGGAATTTATCCCACTCTTAAGGTAAATTAACTTGTTCTATGTCTCGATGATTCACTTTAATAAACTTGCATGTGAGTCGACATTTGACAGTAAAAACTAAATGTTATAGCATCAAGTAAACGTTGAACACAGCTGTAGTTCTGTATAATCGTTTGCCTTAATTTCTACATTGATAAATGTAAAGCAATTTTAATTGCTAGTAAATTATATATAAAATATTTTATTGTTTAACGGGAAATTAAATTATTTTATTAATTTCAGGTGAAACGCACGATCTCTGTAAAATGTCCAATAATATTGAGTAATCATTGTCTATGGAATATTATTAATGTGGAAGAGTAAGTATTTAAAGTGTAAACTATAGTAATAATTTTATATACAATTTTAATATTTGTCATTTTAGGTTAAATAAAGCTTTAATGGACGTTAGACCTAACAAACCTTTGGATGTTAACCTTTACGCACCTGATTTATGCACTAAGGCGGGTCATGTGGAACTGGTGTTCGTTTTTGGTTGCGTTTACGCAGTTTCCGTGCCCTGGAATATACGACGAAGGAAGATCTGCGACTGCCCTATGGTCGAAGTACAACTCGGTATTTCAACCTTCGAGATGAGACATACATGTGGACATAGAAACTATGTTAAATTATCTCCCAATAATGGAATTGTCTCGGTAAAAGAATCTTCTAATAACGTCAAGATTAAAAATTCAATAAATAATTTTAAACACATGTTGCCAAGACATTTGACTAACTAGTCGTTAAATGGTTAAACTACCATACTAACATACATACGCTAAGGGTCACTCTTAGTGTTTAGTAAACGACACTGATTACAGCATCTTGATATTTTAATCTGAATTAATACAATCGAATCTTTTCAGCCGGAAAACCCAAATCTTGTATTCATGGACGTTAATTACGGTCATGAAGGATTGAATACCTTATGTTTTGTGTTGACAATGCCCAATCAGAGAGTACTTCATATCTACGTACATGTTTACGCGTATTTGAATACCAAAGGCACCCTAGTACCATTACGACGTCCTCAGAAATCTAATGACTGTCTTGCTGTACTGGATTGTGGAAGGGTTCCCATTAATAATTTGGACCCTGTGATTCGGGTAATTTAAAGTAATTGATGTAGTATTGAAAGTATTAATATTTAATGTTGAAGGCTACAAACATAGAGGAAGACTGAAGAAAGTGTGGATTTTTTCCATACATAAAAAAATGAAAATGAAAGATGGTATGAGTAAGGGAGTGAATTCAGATATGACGGTTTATAGAGATGTATGGAAGAGCAGTACATACTTTGTCGACCTTCCTTAGGAACAAGAGCAAGTTGCTGGTGAGGAATATTATTGAAAAACTTAGATAAAAATGCTGTTTCTCGATCCATCATCCATCCCGCTCAATCTGTATGATGAAAACAAAGATAAAACTATATTTTATTTAGCACTGTAATACAAATGTAGATATCCTTAGATCGTGTGGCTGTACAATCCTACAGAGGTGTACACGACGTGGCGTTTATTAGCTGGTAACGTGTCCACCTTCGACTCGGCTCTCCGCTGCCTGCAGTACTTCGCGGAGGTGTCGCCTCTTGATAAGCTGGCCATACCGTTTGCGTTCTTACCGACAGAGATGATAGATTATGAGGTTAGGTGAATTAATTTTTGACTGATAAATTAAATAAAAGTAAGAATAAAATACACGCTTTCTAACTTACTACTTTTAACCTTAATAACAAGCGTTCGACGTTTTATATGAATTTTACAATAAAACTATTAGGTTTTAGGTTAGGTTTATGGAACGAAACCGAATCTAACGTGGAACAAATTATATTTTCATTTTTTCCCTTGTCTTCGGTTCCTGTTTAATTTAGCTTTGTATTACAGACCTTACATTTTTTTCTTATTTATAGACAGTATTTAACTGTTCTTTCGGTTACGATATAATCAAGATATTGGTCAAAGGACAAGGTGGGCTGCCTAATTGTATCGAAACACGTCTTGATATTCCAAGTTATATAGAGAGAAATATACGCGCTGCGTATAGAGAAAATGTGGTACGCATAATCATATTTACATACATTTAGTATTGAGAAACGAAAAATGTATCTAATGATTTTTTCGCAGGTTTATTTATCTAAAAGCCATGTTACTTTACCGGTAATGCCCACTCATTCACTATCTAGAGAAATATTAGCGGTTTGTAACAACACGGACCATTTGATTAGATTCATATGGCTACCGTAAGTCAATTTTAATATGCAGATGAGTTTCACAAAGGCTTTTTCAATGTTTAATGGTTTATTTATTTAGGGAAAGGATTGCGAATATAATAAACATAGTTATAACTCCGTGGTGGGGAGTTATACAGCCCAAATCAACGGAATGGATAACGATGACTGTTTATACGCTGCAAGAGCCGGCCACATTTACGTATGGATTTTCAATTACATAAATGTTACACAGAAATTTTGGTCATTAATCATTTTTTTTGCTATTGATTTAATTGCAAGAAATCTGTAAAATAATTATTGCAATTTATATAATTGCAAGATACTTTATATTTCTTTTTCAATGCGAATTATTGTTATGTCTGATTTATTTTACGCCAGTAACGTAAATTATAATAAATAAATTGTTATTTTTAATCGTGCCTTGCAATTGCATTGTTAAGAAGTTGATATGCAAGTAACCAGTAAACATGTTATCTATCCAGATTTACTCATGGCTATCTAAAGCCGTATAAATTTTAACATATTTACTGTCTACGATGTTCCCTTTTTAAGTCATTATAGAAGATAAATTACAGGTGTCGTAAATTCTAAACAGCCTGTCACTAATAGGGTAATCAATAATTCGTTTTTTTCTTTTTAAATGATTCGTGTGCTATCACAAATCTTTCAGTACAACGGTGTCGTGTGAGGTTTTGGATTTGACCGAACGACGAAGGTATCAGTGCAATGAACATTTAAAGAAAACTAAAACGGAGAAATGTAATCAGGAATTTATTATTACAGAAGAAGGACTCTCTCATCCTGTACGTCATCTTAATTGTTCCTAACGTTATAAATGTGAATGTTCAGATGGATGTATGTTAGAAGGTATATACGAAACGGCTGAACGAATCTTGAGGAGATTTGGCACAAATGTAGAACATAATGACTTATTAGTTATTTATTCCTCACGAACGGAGTTGCGGACAAAAGCTTGTTTTGAATAATTTTTAGTTTTTTTGAGTTTTTTTCTTTGTATGGATATTTTTGAATAGTTATATAATTTAGAATTGTATTTTTTTTGTCAGGGAATTAACGATAGCCCACCATACGTATTGGATATAGAAAAGCCGCAGCCCTTCTATCTGTCCATGTCTGTGTCGATATCGTCTAAGGGTCAACGGGATGGTTATCCTAGATTATTGATGAAACAAATGTGGGAACAGGTAATGCTTAATTTCTCTCTTTAGTAATATGGAAGATAGTGAAATGATTATTCTATTGAGAAAGATCTAACTTTAAAATGTACCTTTTTTACTGACTTAATAAATACAGCGGACCCTCTATAACGCGGTTGATAGTTTCGACGTTAAAGAAATCCTCCGTCTAACACGCTAAATCGCGTTATAGTGGGTGCCTTTTATATATTTTTAATTATAATTATGTTAGCATTATAGGGGTAATATCGGCGTTATATGGGGGTACTAAATGTTTTACAGACTCCCCCTTACGATTTATTATCTACGGAAATGCACTTACACGACGGTGGTAAGGAATTAACCTCGAGTGGTAACAATATGACTATCAGTGAGATAATTCGAATTATCGAAGGAATATTGTGGTAAGTAAATATTTATTAATAAACCACATTTAAGAGTATAATTAATTGTAAATTTATTTTAGGGATGCTCTAAACAGTAAGATGTTTAGATATCAAATTGAACATTATACTAAAGAAGAAATACCTACTTATGAACAATTAGTGAAGACGATTGAGAGTGATTCCAAAGAGAGATTCAGCAAGAGGTGATATCCAAGACTTAATCTTTCTAAGTTAAATGCGAAAGTTAAGATGCATGGATGTTTGTTAGAGTTTGTAGCCTAAACTGCTAAACGGATCTTGGTGAAATTTGGCATAGTCAGCATAGTCTGGAAGAACACAAAAGGCTATTTACTTTTGTTTTTTCAATTCCACGCGGGCGAAGTCGCCGGCGAAAACTAGTGTAGATTAAATAAAACTACAATTAAATTAAAAAAAAAAATTAATGAAAAGGAATCAAAAGCAATAAGAAAATTTAAACTTGATGTATTTCAGAATCACATCAGGGATATGCGACGCTATTGTCAATAAGGCAATATTCAATGTATACAGTTTGAATTCTAAATCCAGTATATGTATACTGGAAGCAGAATGACTTTATTTCTAATTTTATTTATTTCAATAAATATTACAAGCATGTTATCATTTTCAATCTTAGCCTAAATACAGACTAAAAGAAACATATAGATAAGACATAGTGAACATTTTTTCACCGGTAACTTCTTTGAAAGGTAATATGTTGTCAAGTTTAGTAATCTATTGGCAATTAAATACAATTAATTACATTGACATGTATGCTTTCTCTGTATATTTCTTGTATCTTTGTCTAAATATCACAGATTTCAGTTCAGTATCTCGTCAAGTTTCAGTTGTAATCTTTTAGGCTTCGGTGTGCCGACAACTGTGACAGACACCCTGTCTCCCAGTTTGGGTGTCTGTTTGCCGCACAAATTACTTCTATGTATCAATCCGTTGTCGCCGACGCCGCAGTCAACGAAACAACCGAATGGAACAACGTTACGAACAACTCCTGAAATATTTCACTATTAAGCATATAACATTTAATGTGTATCTTACTAATATAAAAACGAAAGTTCACGTATCTCCAAGACGACTTAACTTAGATATATAGAGCATAGTCTGGAAGAACACATGCTCAGATATAACTTTCTAAGCATTTTGTTAGTAAAATTAATGATTTATGAAATCGTGGGCAAGAGCTAGTTAGTTCAAAAGTTTATTTGACTATGGGTTTCGTCTCCTCTGAGAGGATATGTAATAAGATAATTATTCTATTACATATTTGAGACATTTGTAAGAATTATGTGAACGTAGAATCTCTATCATACATTCATACTTAATATAAATATTATAAATGCGAAAATTACTATGGATGAATGGATGTTTGTTAGAGTTTGTAGCCTAAACGGCTGAACGGATTTCTATGAAATTTGGTATAGATGTAGAGAGTAGTCTGGAAGAACACATAGGTTACTCACTTTCGTTTTTTTTTTAATTCCACGCGGACGGAGTCGCGGGTGTAAGCTAGTATGAAAATAATCTTAATTAATATATGTAAACCCTTTTCCCAAGTATTCTTAAGTTCTGATTCAATTTCTTAAATTATGCTTTTCGCGACCTTGAATTAGTGTACAGATTGTAAATTATCGCCTATATGTCATAAAAAAATGTCACGAACAATGCGATTTAAATCCAATATCGGTTATAATAACTATCAATTACGACTGAAAGTTGTATATTTTGATATTTTTTGGAAAATGGTAACTTACCTGTCAATTTTGTGCCGTTCGCTATTTGCTCTGTCGTCTGTATAGTTACAGAATAAACGGGTCGGCAGAAACTTATAACATTATCTTCGTAAGGTTTTTGTTTGAAAGCACTTATAATGAGTTCCAAAGTGGACACGTCTGTATCTAAATCTTTACTAGTTGCGACTAAGTCTATGTTAATAGTTTTTCTTTCCACTAATTCAGGGAAATGTGCTTGACTTAACTCTTTTATATTGACGTTAATTTTTTTGGCGAATCTGAAACACAAATTTACAAACATTCGTATTGCAGTAAATAACATTTAATCTATTGTTATTAATAAAATATTACTAAATCTAACTAGCGGTTGCTAGTTTTATTTCGTCCGCGTCAATTTAAAAATAATAAAACATAGCCTATGTTACTTACTGTTAATTTTCAGTAATTTTTACATGAATTAAATACATACAAAAATACAAATCTTGCCTCTTTACAATATTGATACAGATTAAAAACTGTTTGACGATAACTGGTTTAGATGGATGTTAGAAGGTATCTCCGAAATTGCTCAATAGATTTTGATGAAATTTATCTCTGATGTAAACATCGTCTGTAAGAACATCGATTTACTAACTGTTTTTTACAATTCCACTAGCTAAGAGAAAAATATATAGACGAAGCACAAATTTTTCCACCGGTACTTTCTCTGAAAGGTACTATATCAGATGTCAAGTTTAGTGTCACCTCGTCGTTGTATTTATAGATAATAAAATATTTACAAAATTATAATAATATGCATGGTAATGATTTAATTAATTTTAGTGGATTTGAGGTTCTACCAATAATGTTCGTGAGATTATGTGAAAACTGTTTCAAGTTAACTGCCACCTCTATACATTTTTAAATATCTATGTTATTAGTAAAATACTTACCGCTTAGCGGTATCGTAGCTCTCGGGGTGTATGATGGTGGCGTCTAGTGGCTCAGCGCCAGTCAGCACTCGCAGGAAGCCTGCGCACTGCTGGTACGTCACCTTACCTATACCACCCACTTTTAATATCTCCGCGCGCGATTTAAACCCACCCTTATCCTGTCTGTACGCAATCATCTTTTTAGCTCTGCCCTCATTCAAACCTGATATACGTCTAAAACGATATGTTTTCTTTTATATTTTTTGTAAACTCACAAAATTAGTATAGGAAAGCCATCAAGAAGACAAATCCAATCGTAATAAGAAACCGGTTAATTAAGAACGTAATATTAAAAAAGTCATATCTCTGATTTTTATGGAAATATCTGGTTCACAGTTGGTTACTATTGGACAGTAGCGCAGCCATTGTATGGATTCACAGGCTTCAGTAAGTGTTCACATTATGATTGAAAGCCAGTCCAGTTGAGTTTTACTGGAAAACTGTATTATACAAATATGAACCAGGCATTATTTCTGGAGGCTTTAGTAATTCTATCTGAACACAGAATCGCTCCTTTAGGCCCTAGGTGGACGAAGGAGGTATAGTCAAATTCAATCGAAAAGATACATTTTATTTAACTTATATATAACCACCTTTTCATTGGCTGACAATATCATTTGTTTATTTTGGTTTTAGTGTTTCATTGATGGATGTGTGGGGTAACACGATTGCATAAGATACGGTATGAGTATATTAGAGGAAGTTTGAGAGTAGCCCCAGTGGTTGAGAAAATAAGGAGTAAAAGGTTAGAGTGGTATGGGCATGTTATGAGAAGGGATGAATCGCAATGTAACAAGAAGGATGTTAGTTATGAATGTGGAGGGGTACATCGGTAGAGGTAGACCTAGAAAGAGATGGATTGCGTGAAAGGTGACATGATCAAGAAGGGAGTGATGATTGAGATGACGGATGATAGAGTGCTTTGGAGGACGAAAACCCGGTGTGCCGACCCTACGGGAGTATGATAAGGCAGATAGAGATGATGATGATGATTGATGATACGAATATGTCTGTTTTAATAATTCTGTACACCTTATAAAGGTAATCTTGTCTAGATTGTTAATTATAAATCACAGCAGTTTTATGTACGTTTTGAATAATTATGATGTATAAGGTGATATGAATCAGTTCCCACAAAATGATAGTTTAAATTCCTAATTCCCTATTATATTTATTTTATTATATTTTATTACACAAATAATTACATACCTTAACATAGCTTGCGAGGCTGTATTGATATCCACACCAACTAAACTGACCACCTTCTCAACAGTAGCATCTAAGCCACTTTCCAACAACTTCGGCGGAATGTCGTGTTGATAAAGACCCACACCTAAGTTTTTAGGCTCCACCTAAAAGTCATAATGTATTCAAAACGTATTTATAGCTGTGAATACAAAATAAATCAACAATTTACTTTAATTAATTCACCCAATGGATCCAACACTCTTCTTGCTATGGATAACGCTGATATAAGATTGGGATCCATATCTGGATGTTCCTGAAAAAAAATCAACTGGATAATTGTAGATATACCCTAAGTTTTATTGGTACGTAAATATATAGTAAATATGATTACTAAAGATGTATTTCTAATTTTGCCGAGAATGTTAATTTGATAAATCTTTCTAAACAAAAAGTTTTTTATTAAAATGTTTTTTCTTGGCAGATGTTCTTTTATTTCTTTATTTATTAAATAAATTAAATTTACATTAAAATCTATCTAAATCACAGTACATATTTTATTTCCTAAATCGCAATATCTAATCCTGATGTAAATGCATTGGAATTTTTAAAAATACATTTAATTTACATTAAAATGTTAAATAGCACTAATTTTTTTCTACAAAATTATACTAAAACAAGCCAGTAGCTGGATGTGAATATATTCTTTATTTATTTTTGTACATACCTTTTGTGCTTCTTTGCTAACAGAATAAATGGAAGCACCTTGTTCAGGTACAATAATAACTGGAATGTTCTCAGATATTTGATTATTTTTTAACCAAGTTTCTGTTTCTCGACAAGCGGTGCCGTTTCCTAAACCGATTAGATCAACTCTAGAATAAAATTAAAAAGTAAAAAAACAAGATTAAGGCAACAATCTTACTAATAATATAAATGTGAATGTTTGGATGGATGGATGTTTGTTAGTTTGTAGACTAAATGGCTGAATGGATCTTGATGGAATTTGGCATAAACGTAAAGGGTAGTCTGGAAGAACTCATAGGCTACTCACTTTTGTTTTTTTTTAATGCCACGCAGACGGATACACGGGTGAAAGCTAGTTAAAAATAACATAAACTGACCTATGTTTAGTTATTATTTGTTTTAATTGTTTTGCAGCAAGATCATTTTCATTATGTCTTCGTAAATCAGGATAAACGGTACAAGCGTCTAATTTTTCACCATTAGCATTTATTATTCCCACCTGGAAAAAAATACGGTCAAATTATTTAAAGCAAATATCAAAACTTTAATGTTCCAATGATAAAACAATCTTGCCTCTTGGTTGCTATTGGCTTGTACTTTTTGTCCCTTTCCCGCATTGCGGTTATTTCAAATATATTCACCCCCTAAGTTTAATAGGGTGAAAATATATAGCCTCAAGCGTGTCTTAAGTGTAGGGCTTTTTATTAAAAATATGCTGATATGCCATATAAGTAAGAAGTGTGTGATTACGCTTTATTATATTAATATAGAAGAAGTATAGACAGATATTTAATGTATACAAATATTATAAAGAGGAGCGATTTGTATTCTTGTATGTATTAAAATAACTCGGAAACAATGGGGCCAATTTCAAAAATTCTTTCACCATTAAAAAATACGTTATCACAGTAACATGGGGTATATTCTTTAATTTTAGGCGAAGTCAGGAGCAAAAGCTAGTATTGTTATAAAAGGTTTAAATGTCAGTACAAAGTCAGAGCAGTTAGTATTTTGCATGTTTACCTTGCAACCAGCTTTAAATCCTGGATCCAAACCAGCTATTATTCTGTTCTTGATGGGTTCCGTCAATAGATATTTCTCTAAGTTAGCTGTAAATGTTTTCACAGCTTCCTTCTGTGCTGCAGCTGTCAATTCTGAGCGTACTTGTCGAGTTAGCCAAGGTTTTATGAGACGATTGTAAGCGTCATTCAAACCTTTCTTAACCCAGTAATTACTTTTCCAGAGCGTTAGACAATACCTACAAATAAATCTTATTAATATCATAATTTAAGTTTCGCCCGCGACTCAACCAGTGTGGAAATAGAAAAAATGAAAGTAAGCAGCCTATGTGTTCTTCCAAAATAATCTTTTACATCTATGTCAAATTTCAAGGTCCATTCAGCCATTTAAGCTACAAGCTCTAACCAAACATCCATCCGTCGAAACTTTCTCGTAACATTAGTGAAATGTCAAAATTTATATTAATGGATGTTTGTTACTATATATCTACAACACTCAACAGATTTCGCTGAAATTTGGCTTACATGTAGAACATAGTCTGTAAGAACATATAGGCTAAATTTTTTATTCCGCGAGGACGGAGTCACGGGCGACAGCATAATAATAATAATACACGAAGTTTTTAATTGATCATAAACTCTCTCTTGAAGCTATTTCCAAACGATTACAGGTGTTAGAGATGCATGGAGGGTCAGCACATAGGGACAACAGCAGATTAACAATAAACAGGTTTTACCATTTACCTTTCAAGTCTATTATAAAACCAATCAGGAATCACAATTTTGACAGAGAGAATTTTTTCATCCTCCCCTCTATTAACAGCTAATGTTTGATAAGATTTAACAAATTGAACAGGACATGTCCAATCAAAATATATCTTATATGTTTCGGGATCTGATTTACTGTCATATTTCTTGTTATCATCTTTCTTTTCTTTTGTAGAACTTTTCCGACTACTCTGTACTATGAATCTTGTTTGTTCTTTTCTGTAAGAGGGCATTATTTTAAAGAATTAGACACTTTTTGTATTTTAGTAGTACAAAATGTTTCATATGAATAAACACTTTGTTTTATAATCATTGCTTATAATTTGATATATGTCAAAATTTTTATGAAATTTTAAGTTTAAGTGTCTCCTTATTGACTAACATATTTAAATAATGGCCCATAAGCACTTAAATACAAAGGGTGTGCAAGTGTTAACTTAAAAAACATATATTTGTTTTAATCTAACTTAAAGGAAACATACAAACTTCTCATTTCCATTAAAACTCTTGAATCTTTGTAAATAATATCTGCAACTATGTGAGTTATATGAGAGTCCACTTTTTCAACTGTTGACATTTCCTCTTCCCCATTACAAAGTTTTTGTAATTCAATATTCTCTCCATTTAAAGCTTTTACTGCGAATGGCTCAATGCCGAGAGACCGAGCCCTTTCAGCTAATGATAATGAATTAGATTTAAGTGGTGCATACTGTAAACATACATATTTTGTGTATTAAATTAATAAATACATGAAGTATTTCATATATTTCATTAATAGCAAATAAATTATTTTAATCACATTTTGTAGGTGTAGCAGAGTTTTAGCTTTTACAAGCCACTAGGTTTAGCCCGCGACTCCGTCTGCGAGGTATTAAAAAAAACAAAATCAAGTAGTCTATGTGTTCTTTCAGACTATCCCCTACATCTATGAAAATTTGATTAAGATCAACAGTTTAGGATACAAACACTAACAAACATCCATCCATCCATCTAAACATTCACATTTATAATATTAGTATGAAGTATGTATGGTAACTTATATTATGTAAAAGTAAAGGTTATTAAATGTACTAAGACAACATACCAATAAATCAAGTTCAGATAAGTTATGGGCATTCAAAATACTCTGTTCTATTTCAGGAGTAAGTTTTTTTGATTTCTTTAATGTCTCTATCACAGATTTGACTTTCTTTGTAAACTGTGTAACCTTCTGGTAACCTTCATACAATTCTTGAAGGCTATAAAAACATATAAGGTTAATATAAAAGGCAATGTAATGTTACTTTAAACTATTTCTAGATTATTTACCGATCAGGTTTCAGATAATCAACAACATTCTTACGATATCTTGCTATAAATGGTAAAGTACATCCTTCGTTAAGTAACTTAATAAATCTTTCCGCCAACTCTTGGGGAACGTTTTCTTCATATGATAAAATCTTTGCTTCATCCCAGTCTTTATTTTCTAAACTTATTTGAGAATCTGGTACAGTCTCTTCGAAATGTTCATCATCGGTTGTTTTCTTCTTTTTTGAAACATCTTTAACTTTAAATTTTTCTGAATGCTTCTTAGTAGATTTTTTAGTATCTGCAGATTTTTTAACTCTTGTTCTTTTAGGAACGCATTCCGTTTCTATCTGTTGCAACTTTCTTTTTGTTGCAATACGTTCCATGTTTTTAAATGAAATAAGAAGAATTTAAATTATTATTGTAAATAACACAGTGTTTGTAAATTGTAAACGGTAAACAAATCAAAGTTGATTTGAAACCCAAAGACAAAATGTTAATTCTTAAATTGACAGTTGAAGTCAGTTGTTTTTTTTAAATCAAGTTTTTAGGCCTACGGAATCTTTAAGCCAAAAGAAATTTGAAGAAAAACGCATTCTTCATTTATCATTTTAATAAAAAAACATCAAAATCCTACCATATTAAAAAATTTAATTTTAGCGAGTTTACGAATTAAGAATCTCGTCTAGCCTTGTTGCAGAAAATGTAAAACACGAGGAAAAATGTAACGCAGTGAGACAATGACAGTTGCTGATAATGACATTAAACAGCTGATAATGACAGTCTGACAGTACAATGTTCAATGTAATCGTTTTTTAGTTTTAACCGAATTTCTTCGTGTTTGTTATTAATTCAGTGACTTACTGAATAGTTAAACTCGAATTGAAATATTTCGTTTAAAAACACCGGTTTTCATTCATAACAATACTGAGGCTGAGAAAATTCTGTGAACTTTCACACGAAAGACAATCAAAACTTAGGCAATTTTAACTTTTAATACCATGGCAGAAGGTAACAAAAGCATAAAAAACGATGTAGTACATAAACTCGTTAAAAATTTTCTCAGCGGAAACTTAAAATATGATTTAACAGTAAGTAACTCGAAATAAACTTTAGCAAAACAACTGGCCAATATTTTTAGAAACATATATTTGTTATGTTGCAGCAAGATGAAATAAACGAACTATCTTTGGACAAACAAGAAATGTTTTTGCAGTCAACAATTCATAGCCCTCTTTATAAGCAATATCCCTTAAAAGTTGAGTTTTGTAGATTATTTTTTAAGAAACTAATTAAATATTTGGACCAGTATTCTGAAGTCCATGATGATATGTATGAGTTTATATGTTCTTTGATGAAAATAAAAAATGAAGAAAATACATTCTGTTATAGACATTACATTTTTCAAAATTTAAATGACATTATTACAATAAAAGAAACAAATAACATGGTTATAAATGGAACAACTGGTATGAAAACTTGGGAGGTAAGAGATTGAAAATCTTGAGCTGTTGGATCTAAATTTATTTAATTTCATATGCCTTGCAAATAAATTCAAATGTTTTCTTACAGGCTGCTATAATGTTATCAGACTGGATGTTATGTAACAAAGAATTATTTCATAATAAAAGACTATTAGAACTAGGTTCAGGAGTTGGTTTTACAGGAATTACCATTGGAAAGTTCTGTTCATCAAAATCTATAACATTAACTGATTGCCATAGTGATGTTCTTAATTTACTTGTAGAAAATATAAAAATTAACTTTCCAGACTTACAAAAAACTACTACTTTACAATTTCCCAGTTTTAAGAATGAACACAAAGTAATAGGTATGTTTGAATATATTTTTGATTTAAGTTATGTCAATTGATTTTTTGCTTTACATATTTTTTATTATCAAAACGCACTTAATTTTACCATTTATTTTTTTACAGATGTTATTAAATTAGATTGGCATTGTCTCGAAGATATAGATGTTAATTACTATCCAGATATTGTGATTGGTGCTGATATAGTGTATGATCCATCAATTCTTTTACCCCTTTGCAGTGTTTTAGATACATTTTTTAATAGAAATCCTCATTTACAAGTGTATATTGCAAGTGTTATAAGGAATGAAGACACTTTTAATCAATTTACAAAAGTTTTAGGTAACTTATTTTGCTCTATTTATTATGTATTTTATTAACTTGTTCAAAACATTGACATTTTTAAAATTCAATGAATCTGTTTTCAGATAACATTAATGTTGCAGTTGATAAGGTGGTTCCATCGGAATGTGTCTTTTTGAATTGGGATAAAGAAATGAAGAGATGTATACTGAAAATAATAAAAAAAACATGACATTATTTACAACATTTTGAATGTAATTATTTTACATAGATTGTGTTTATTATTTTTGCTCATGGTACATTAATTCATTCAAAACATACATACATAGTAGCATAAAGGTGTCCAACCACAATCCTTAAGTTAGTTTCAATTTAAGATACTGGGGGACGTGAAACTGGTGCGTCGACCCTATAGGATTAGGACAAGGAGGACGCAGAGAGTTAAAGAGAAACCTCTAAAAACTGCAGCGATAACAACTCGTGGTAAATAAAAAAATTAACTCCGCTCGTGTTATCCTCGCAATTCTATAACGTCTGGTTTCCGAACAAGCATTATGTGTCACTGTCTTGTTAATGTCAATGTCAAAATCAAGTCACGATTTTTACAGTAATTTATATTTTATTTTATGAAGAATTTATTCGAATAAGTATTAGTTATCAATTTAATAATAATATAAACATTTGTCCAAAAAGCTTCTTAAAGCAAATTGTTACCCAAAAACCATATAAGAAAATCAGTATAATTTTAAAATTGATTTTCAATGTCTGAGGAAGATAAAAGTAATTCAACACAAAATGCAAGTACGGGTAATAAATCAGAACAAAAACAAGAGTCCTGGGGATACGATTTATATCCTGAAAGACGGGGAACATTCACACCAAAGTTGTCCAACATTCTAATTGGTAAAGAAGGGAAAGAATCAATTGAGAAGTTTAAGTGCGAAAAAAATGTATACGAGTGTGTTAAAAATAGTAAGTATGTGAAATTATTTTAAATTTTAATGCGGATAGAAAAATAATTTTTTAAATATTTCAGGTCCTATAGTTAAAATGATGATGGCTGCATTAAAAAGTTCTGGTTGGTAAGTTATGTAATATAACGCGATAAAAAGATTATTGTTATTTAAATTACACATTAAAATAAAATTTATTATTGGTTTATCATCCTGGGCAAGTTTTCTATGGTACTCCTTTACTTGGATAAGGGTAGTTAAAAGAATTATATGAGACTGTTATTCACTGTTTTTGGCACATGTTTTACTAGCAACCTGGGCAGCCGCTCTAACATGCTCTAGCACAGACAGTTAAAATTCTTTTTTGTACTGTAATTCATACCAATTTATCTATTTTCAAAGTACATTTTTTTTCATTTGTTTATAATTTCAGTCCTGTTGATATAAGAAGACACATATCTTGTGAGGTTTGTGATTATTCAGTAAGTGGAGGTTATGATCCTGAATTGAATCAGGTGAATATTTTAAAATGTCTACTAATAGTAACACTAATATTTTATGTAAACATTGGTAATATTTGCAATTAATGTTTGTAAATCTGATTATTACTACTACAATATTAAAGATAAACCTTTGCTTGTAGCTTATCAGTGCAGATTAAAAAAGAAATCTCATATAAGTAATATAGTCTATGGTAATCAATGAGGTTTTAATTAATAACTTAATTTTATTAACTTAATTTTTAGTGATAGTCTCCTTTGTTCTCCATTTGTGTTATATAGCTAATTTACTATAATAATTATTACAGATTGTTGTGTGTCAAAATGTGTCAACAAGGAAGGGTATGGTGCAAGGTGTGTTAGCACATGAGATGATACATATGTTTGATTACTGCCGCAATGACCTCAACTTCAAGAACATGGAACATCTCGCCTGCTCCGAGATCCGTGCTGCAAATCTAACACATTGCTCATTTGTGAGCGCCTGGTCACAAGGTGACGCTCATTGGACGAAAGTAAAGCAAGCACATCAGGTAATTATTTTAATTATGAATTAAAAAAAAAAGTTAAACTACTACTAACTTTTTAAATATAGTTGTATTTGATAATTTGAATATTTACATGAATTGTGCCTCTCTTCACTTGTTCCATGCTCTTTCTTGCATACTTGACTCAGAAAGGACAATAAGTCATGCATGTACCCCACTTCAGTCAACTTATATCACTTTACTTTATTTAACAGGATTTAGAATATTACTTTTCACAAATAAACAATATAAATAATGTTAAGATAATCACCAAGAGAACAATGAATAAGAAAAGAAGTAGAGTAACTATATTCAAAAGTATTATCATGTAAAAAATGCTCTTGACTTCTCATATAATTCCAATTAATTTTTATACTCTCAAGATTGATTAAAAAAACATGTAGAATTATATCAAAAAACATAAGAAATCAAATCATTTGACTCGAAACAGGTCTGTTATAACCAAGCTAAACAAAAGTTGGTGGTTACTGTCTACCTATCTAGGTTACAAGTCAGAGTTAAATTGTAATTTTTTGACCGACTTCCGAAAAGAAGGAGGTACTCAATTCGGCTGTGTTTTTTTTATGTGTGTTACGGTATAACTCCGCCGCTAGTGGACCGATTTTGATAATTCTTTTTTTATTCGAAAGGTAATGCTGGCAGGTGGGTCCCATTTTTTTTTGTTTGATTTTTTATTGATTACTTTTTTACAGGACTGTGTTAAAACGAAAGCTTTGTACTCTGTGATGGCAGTACGTCAGATCGGTAAAGCGGAAGCTGTTGATGTTATAGAGAAGGTGTTTCCTAAATGTTACGCTGATTTAGAACCAATCGGTAGACGGATTAGAAGAAACTCAGATGATATGCTCCGAGCTTTCAAAGAGGCTGCATATTATGGTTATGAATGACACTGGTGTGTTATACGTAGTTTTTAAGTAGAAAAGAAATAAAACGAAATTTTAAAGATTAAAATAATGTCTTTTATTTCATTATTTCACCAACTATTTACAATTTTATCGTCTAAACAAACATTATTCTAGATTTCGGTAATTAATGCGTTTCAAATAAGAATATGCGTTTGATTTTTTATTATGAAGACTTTATATTAAAATTATTCAAATAAATTTTTGTTAATGATTTTTGAATGATTGTTTTGGAAACGCACATTTTTATTTGAAGCGCTAAAAGATTTTATATTTAAATCAAAACCAATATTTTTTTCTAAGCAATTTAGTTATAGAAAGGCACAAATTCTATGGACGAATTTTATTTAAATCTTACATTAGTATAAATACGTATTTCTATATAATAGTTAATGGCCAATTTTTATATAAATTTTAATACAATTTCATAACAATCTGATAAATACGTAATGTATATCACATTTTGTGCAATAAAATGATTTGTGCTTAAAGTTATTTATGGATTTATTTATGTTATTTATTATAATGACTAGATCTGCTTTATTTAATCTTAAATTCGAGCTAATTAAGTATGATAAATTATAGCAAAACGATCTGTTAGTTTATATCCAAATTTTTAAAGAAAAAAAAAACAAATGCCTTTTTAAGACACCAAATTTCAATATTTGCGAAAAATGAGTTCGGAAAAATACCTCGTATATGGTCATGAGATCTTATTTTCTTTATTAGTGAAAATCTTAGAAGAAAAGTAATTTTTCTAGAGATTTATTTATTCATAAAAAATACTTTAATTATACATTAACCACAAGGCACCTAAATTAAAGCCTACTATTTTTAATTTAAGTATAAGCCTTATGGTCCCCAAAAGATATCGATACTTGTATATTACCAATAGTAATAAAGTATTAATTTAACATATTATTAAGCACTTATACGGTTAATTTATATCTTAAAAATTCTACAGCAATTTCACTAATAAATTCTCTATTAAATGTGTAAAAAGTAGTTTTATTAAAAGTGATTTTTATAAATCGTTTTATTAATATAACATTTAAGGTTTATTCGATCTCCTGTATTACTGCAGACGGGTTTTTTTTGAATTAGGGAATCGCAAAATTTGATGACTATCTGTTCAAAGTATGAGAATTGCACTATAATATTTCATGTCACTTCGTGGGATAATGGGTGACCACTTATAGTATCGTGTTAAGGGATATTTCATAACTACTACAAATATTAACGCATTTTAAAGGCATTCAAAATAATAACACTTATATAAAAATAAATAATTTACGAAACATTTTTCAACAAATAACAAATGTAAACATAACCTTAGTTTGTAATCACGCTGTACAATAATTGTTTCTTATTGAAATAATTGCACTTCCTTTAAATTAACAAAAAAAAAAAACAACTTAAAAATATTCAAAGTTAAAGGCGTCTTGTTCAAACTTCCTTTGGGTCTCACTAAATTTTCAAAAAATGGACTAGCAATTTGTCTAATATGTACAAGAGTTTTTATCACTTGGTAAGTTTAGGCACTTTTCACATAATAAGGTATTCACACTCACTCGAGAGTAGCTCGATGAGCTTCGCTGAGGTAAGTTGTCCAGTAAATGACGGTAAAAAGAAAAAAGCATATCGGGAAGAGCATGAGGGCGAATTTGTCGAGAGCCCCATGTTGGGCTCCACAGAACATAACGCCGTGGTCTACCATGGTCGCCACTCGGACCATGAAACCCCTGGACGATCCACTCGGCGGCATTGTATCAAGTATCGGTGAATCCTAAAATAAAAGAAAATATTCATTTATTAACATAAAATTCAACATACATTAAAATACTCATTACACAATCAGAAAAGTTTACACTTATACAAATTGATCTTTTCGTCCTTATCGCGTTTCTAGTTTTGTCAAAGTGCCTAAATTTAAATATATTCTGTGCAAAACCAAATAAAACAACGGTGTAATACAAATTCCTAATACAAATTTTGCTTGTAACCTCTAAACTCTACGTTTTATTTTAACAACAGTCGCGTGTAAAGGCCCTCTAAGTAGAAGCAAACAAGAACACTCGAAATATGAACGAATAAAGACTACCTAGATATTGCCAAAAATTTTTGCACGCCTAATATAACTATAGTTAATAACTACGCGTCCTACAGTATAAGAAAATACACAAATGTCTAAAGACTGGATACGTATTATGTCGCCAATAACTTATTTATTACGTGAAACTAATTTGCATACGGTG